CCCAGAGGGTGGTGACACACTGGAACAGGTTGCCAAGGAGGCTGTGGATGCCCCATACCTGGAGGCATTCGAGGCCAGGCTGGATGTGGCTCCGGGCAGCCTGGTCTGGTGGTTGGCGACCCTGCACATAGCAGGGGGTTGAAACTAGATGATCTTTGAGGTCTTTTTCAACTCCAGGCCATTCTGGGATTCTGTGAGAGAGGTTTGAATACAGTGTTGGTGTACAGTGAGCTTTCATTGTAGAAAGACAAATAGTTTTATTGGTTACATCTGGGACAATGACACCATTGCTTTCACTACCTACTAGGCCACAGGAGCAACGATGGATCATATCACCACATACAACCACATGTGCCACAGCAATATTGTCACATTTCTGCTAATAAAAAATTCAAAGTTTGTGACCTTCCAACCAATTCCTAACCCACCGAACGGCCCACTTCTCAAACCTGCATCTCCCCATTGCAGAGATCAGGACGTGTTGGGGGACCACGCCAAAGGCTTTGCAGGAGCCCAGGTAGGTAACATCCGCCCACCCCGTTCAGCTCCTGACAGGGACGCACGGCCCATTCCTGGGAAGCTCTACAGAGGAAAACGAGTATCTCCAGCACCAGCCTGCCTGAGACTGCTGCTTAATAACTGCTGCCTGGATTGCTGCGGCTTAGAGGAACGGTTTTAATCACAGACCGAGAGATCACCGACATCCGAGCCGCGAGCCTATAGGTAAGGACGGCGTACCGCCCTCTCCACCCCGAGGCCCAGCCCTCGATAAACCTCGCATGCGCGCCGCCGCCTCGGCCATTGCGGTGCCCGGGGTTGGAATCGCGGCCACGTGACCTCCCGCATGGCCGTGGAGGGCGCGGCGGGGAGCGAGCCCGCGCCCAGGGGCAGCAGCAGCGTCGGGGGCGCGCCCGCGCCCGTCGGCAGTGGCAACGGCAGCGTCGGGAGCGCGCCCTCGGCCAGCGGCAGCGGCAGAAGCGCGCCCGCGCTCACCGGCAGCGGCGTCAGGAGCCCGGCCCCCGCCCGCTCTTTCATCTGCTCGTTCCCCGGCTGCGATGCCGCCTTCAACAAGGGCTGGCGGCTGGACGCGCACCTCTGCCGCCACACGGGCGCGGTGAGCGGGGCAGGGCCGCGTGCCGGCCGGGGGCGGACCGGGAGCTGCGGCCGCCGCCGCTGCTGAGCCGCCGCGTCTCTTTCAGAGGCCGTACGTCTGCCAGTACGAGGGCTGCGGCAAGAGCTTCACCAGGGACTTCCACCGCGCCCGGCACTTCCTCACGCACTCCGGGGAAAGGCCCTTCGAGTAAGGCCCGGCCTCGGCCGTCTGCGGCGTTGCCCTGGTGGGAGCGGGCAGGGCCGCCCCTGCGGTGCGCGATTCGTGACGAGGGGCGTCGGCCGCCGTCTGGGGCGGCAGCAAAGCCGTGAGCTTTGCTGAAGCTCCCCCTTACGTGGCTTCCGGCGGCTTTCGATAGGGACTTTCCCACTAGCTTTTCATGTCTTTAAAAAGACTGTTTGCGTTGTGAGCGCGGCTGTCTTGGTCGTCCTCTTGCCCGGTGATGGGGGTACGTGCTTTGTGTGCGGTGAGGAAAAGTTGCTTTGTTTGCAGGTGCACAGCTGAGGGATGCAATCAGAAGTTTGGAACAAAGTCAAACTTAAAGAAACACGTTCAACGCAAGCATGAAAATCAGCAGAAACTCTATTCGGTGAGTGATGACCTTTGGCGCTACAGAGTGAGGCTAGACAAGCTCCTCTTGTGGTACCTAAGGACATACCTGGGCTCGTTATGCAGAATTCGCATGAGTTCGTGTGACTGGGATATCAGCCAGCATGGGTGGACTGGGCTGTCGTCATTTGGCCTGATAATAACTTGATTTCCTAAACAGTGCAACTTTGAAGGCTGTGGCAAGTCCTTCAGGAAACATCAGCAACTGAAAGTTCACCTGTGTCAGCACACCAATGAACCGCCCTTCAAGTAGGTAGATAATTTTGCTGATGAACTTCAACAATTTAAACACTACAGTTGAAAACACGTGCCTTCTCTCAACCTTTTCATTGATGGGGCATTTAAAACCTGAAAATAAACTTGCAGGAATACTGTCATGGTTGCCAGTACACTTCTTTAGCTAGTGAACAGCAGTCACAGTGCACTGTAATTTCAGCTCTCTGGGCACTTTTCCTAGTATTTATTACAGGTTCATGGAAAAATTAAACAAACAAACATTGAAGGTGTCTGAAACACAAACGTAAATGCTTGCATGGCTGCTCTAGCTGCTAGAATTGTACAAGTCACCTGATGCTTCCACCTTCTGTGTATCTGGACAGCTCTTTATGTAGGGAGGAAGATGAGTACAAGGGATGAAGCAGAACAAATCTCTGGGCAAGGGAAGTCTGGGTTATTTTGCCCTCTTTAATTGTTTGTGACTTGAAGAAAAACTATGCAGGTGCGATGAGAGAAGTTAAACCAGTGTAATTTTACCTAGATGTAATCACGAAGGATGTGGGAAGAATTTTTCTACTCCAAATAGTCTAAAGCGGCACAAGAAGATACATGAAGGTAACACAGTTTTTCTTTTTGCTTCAGTTGTGTTTTGGCAAAGGAAAAGGTAATCTTTCCCATGTGGATGATGGAAGTGTTCTGTGACCAGTGATTCAGACAGGCAAAGCCAGAGTACCATTCTGAGTTGCCATTTGGGTTACAGTTTCAGGACATTGCATCATTCAGGTTACAATGTATTTATTTCTGGCCAGCTAAACCCAGCTCAGTTCCCCTAGAAGTCATTTTTGACTTCTGAAGTGCTTCCTTGTCAATAATCTATCTTCTGGAGAGAAGATCAGCTAATGGTTAAGGCTCTAGCCTAGATGTCTACAAGTGAAGATTAATTGCCAGTTCTGCTGCACGTTTCTTATGTAACGTTGGCAAAAACCACGGAAGCATTTTTACTGTTATCACGTGAGAGGTATTTAAATAGAATTGTCAGTAGGTGGTCATGTAGGTGTTTGAGCTTATTCTGCTACACTGCTATCCATTCTTTTAGTATTCTTTGACAGCTAACTTTGTTTTTGTTACGAACTAACACTGGAAAGCAAGGAAATGTGCGTCTAGAAAGAGTATCCCAAAAGCCGTGACTCATATTGTGGTCTTTTCTTAAGACTTGCATATAGTTCTTTGGTCTTTTCAGTCTTGGTATTTAAATAGCATTAAGTCTCTGTGGTTCATTTAAAAGTCATCTTGTCTGCTTGATAAAATGGTAGTGTCTTTAGGCTTGGGAACATTACTTTATAGTCAAGTTCCTGGAATACAAATATTTAGACAGAAATACATTATTATGGTTATATATTTGACTGAAAGTGTATGGTTGGTGGGATATATGTTTTACTTAAGACAGGGGGAGGTAGAGTTCCATAAAGCCATTTAGCTTGGAAAGGAGGTCATCTGGTTTAAATCTGCTTCATTAGACCAAGCTGCTCAGGGCTGCATGCAGTCATGTAATGAATGTCTCCAGGGGCAAGGATTTCACAGCCTCTCAGGACAGCTCATGTCAGTGATAAAAAGGTTTCTTCATAAAACCCATTAGGAATTTCTCATCTTCTAACTTGTGTCTATTGCCTTTTGTCCTACCTAGTATGGGGAGGAAGATGAAGAATACTTACCTCTAATTTTCAAACACTGAAAATGCAGTTCACCCTTGTAAAATTAGACTGTTTGCCAGAGCATTTGTGACTGTAATCATCTGTTGTCCCTAACAGGCTATGCGTGCAAGCAAGAAAACTGCTCGTATATTGGAAAAACTTGGACTGAGCTTCTGAAACATAATAAAGAAAGCCATGCAGGTAAGCTTCATATGCATTAGCAAGCAACAAGAAACAAAATGCATATGTGAAGAGTAGGCCTTGCTGAACTCACTTTGTCATTGTGCCTAAACCAACTGTTTACTAGCACTTAATGGCAAAATAGTTGTCACTTTTGACTGATGAAAACGTTAGTATACTAACTTTGATTTGTGACTCAATTAATGAATAATTGCATAATGTAGGATTTGGGATCTGGATAATTCACATTCTTTTCTAGTCTCTGCATTCCCTACTGTTCATGTGAGTTTTCGCTGTCTTCTAGAGGACTGCTAGGGTTTAATTCTGAACTCCTGGCAAGAAGCTGTTAACTTATACTCTGCTTCTCTTTCCTTCCCTGACTCAGAGCCAATTGTTTGTACAGAGTGTTCTAAAACTTTTAAACGCAAAGATTACCTGAAGCAGCATAAAAAAATACATGCTGCAGAGAGAGAAGTCTGCCGCTGCCCACGAGAAGGATGTGACAGAACTTACACAACTCTGTTCAACCTTCAAAGCCATATCCTCTCTTTTCACGAGGAGCTGAAACCATTCTCTTGTGATCATCCTGGCTGTGGAAAAGTATTTGCAATGAAGGTATGTATTTTCACACTGTCCTACCCTGAACTGCATAATCTGAAATAACAACATTCTTTTCTTCTTTGTAACTGTAGCAGAGCCTAGCAAGGCACGCAGTTCACCACGATCCTGAAAAGAAAAAGCTAAAAGTAAGTCATACTCTTAAAGTCCTCCCCTGTGAGTTGACAAAATACAGTTGAGAGGGTTAGTATTAAGTGTTTTAGAACGTGGAAATGTAGGAAAGCAAGCCAGCTATCTACTTAATTTGGGAGATTTTTGTTATCTGAAGGTCTTGTAAATAACATGCTGGCCTTTTCCCTACTTTTTTTCTGCACCTCCACTGTTATGCTGTACACACGTGAAGTCACTAATGCTGTACTTATTTCTGCCAGGCAAAGCGTTCTCGCCCTAAGAGGAGCTTAGCCTCTCGTCTGAGTGGGTACATTCCCCCTAAAACACAGCCAGGAAAAGATGTGGCTGTGACAGAATGCACGACAACAGATCCGCCCATGGAAAACGGAATGCCAACTGTTGAAATTCTGACTCTGCAGTAAAAGTTAACTGCAAATTTTCTTCATGAAATGACCACTGTAATGTCCAGCAAAAAACCTTTATTTTATAGTCCTTTTTGTAATAGCATTGTTTGTACCTCCTCATAAAGTCATTAATGCAGCTCACTTGACTTTGGCTCTTCATTTTCATCTTTCTTTACCATACTGTTTTTCTGTTTTTCCATCTTCTGGTATGCTTTCAACTCTTTGTCAGACATGTGTCTCAGAATGCACATACTCGTTCCTTCCTTAATGGCTTTAGGCTTGGAAAGATAAGTGGCTTTGTCAGATATAGCCTCCAAAATCTGATCAAAAAGCGTGAACTGAAAAGAGGCAAGAATAGAATAAAATGCACAACAATGGTTAGAAAAATATTTCAGGCTGTTTTGCTAGTTTTGGTTTGAACACTTCAGCTTGTCTTTTCCCAACCACTTATTCTTTATTCATTAAAGGAGGTTTAGGAAAGTCATCAGGATTATGCCATTTCCTAATATTTAGGCTAAATTACTAATTCATCCTGTTTTGGTTTAAAACAAACAAAAAAAAACCCAAACCCTCCCCATTTACGTACATGACAAGACATGAAGCCCTAAAATCTTTATAGATATTTACTTTGCCACTTTTGAAACAATTCCAGTAGCTTTCTACGGTAGTGATTTCAGAAGAACAGGTAAGCTATTTAAGTTATCCAATTGAAACGTAAAAGTATTTCATAAACATTACTGCAAAATATCTCAGCTGGCTTAAGGTACAGATGGGACAATTTTACAGCCCACTTCATAAGCTGATGCTACAAAGAAGCCCACTATTCTGCCTGCATTCTTAATAGAGCATAGTACTTGAATTGTCTCTATGGGACTGTGTGAAGCGACAGCTAACTTCATGGGACACAGACATTCACATCAAAACCAAGTGATGCATTAAAATCAGAAGACAGAACGGCATGGGAGAAGTAAATACAAATACAGCTATTTCATGAAATGGACTGTCCACTTACCGTGTCTGTATTGCTGTCTCTTCCCTGTCGGATAGTCACTTTCACATGGTATTTCTTTTCAATCCAGTGTGTTATCTGTTTAGTCTTGGTCTCCAAGTCATTCTTGGCAATAGCTGAAGAGAAGGATAACTCCTTCTGAACCAGCACTGTTTAAAACAGAGCTAAGATTGTGTTAGCATAGCATGAGAGAAGCTATCTATCTGCTCTCTTTCAGCAGCCTCCAGTGCTTTGCTTAACTCCCTTTCTCCCATGCTGCTTTCTCATACACGGAGTATCCCAGCCTCACTGTGTCAGCACATAGCACTCTCACCTTAGAAGGGGTAATTGGTATTTCAGTCACTGCTCTGAAGGGGAGACAGACTGCGTGTGTAGAGCACGCACGGAAGTCTCTTCAGGTTCAGAGTGCTTTAAGTATTTTTGCTTTCACTGCAGTTTTGTTCATACCACCCACAACGCAGGTCTAACAAAGATAAATAGGCAAGCATTGGATGTGGACTTGAGACTTAGTGTGGAAACTCCTACATCTTGCACATAATGTAGCTGAAGGTGAAAGCTTTAAAAATAAATATCTATTCATCTCAAGCCTGCTTTCTTGCACAGTAAAATATCCAGCTGGAAGTACAGTACAATTATGCTCCCTTCCTCTTCCTAAGAATTCTCTCAATTAGTTAGCATGTGCATGATCTTTTTGTAGTCTCTGGAACAGAAAACTCCCTACCACAGTGCGCTCTCTAAAATGAGCACTCTGCCCAGAGCACAGATACCTTCCTCAACCTGAGGTCAACAAACAAGGTCAGATGTCTTCTAAAATATCCTTGCCCAACTCAATTTGTTCAACTGCTCGAGCAGATTGGCTTAAAAAAAAAAAAAAAAGCCTGCTTCCTCTCTAAAAGAAAGGGCTCCAGACTTTTTCCTCCTAGCAGCAGGCTATGAAGAGAAAGTTTCACAACCACCGTTTGTGATCACTGGAGGCAAGTTTGTGTATGTGGTACACAGAGTTGTAAAAAGTGTCTGTCATTTATGCCTTAGTGAAAGAGAAATTCGGTGAGCCTTACAGAACCAGAGTCTAGCTGTATTAACTTAAATAAAAATAGCTTTAAAAAAAAAAAGCCAGCAGATGCCGAAGTAGTAAATCCTGAGAAGGCAATAGTAGGCTTCTGTGGAGAAGCCTAAACTAATCCAAAATTTTATTTTCACCAGTGCAAATCCCTAATAGCATGGACTGCAGTGACGTTGCAGGATTTACACAAATGCAAGTAAGAGGATTTAATCTGCTGAAACCACTTTTAATACATCATTTTTCGAAGTGCTCAGTGTTGTAACATTAACAATGTATGTACCTGTTTTTGGACTTGCTTTTTCTTTCTCTGCACGTTTCAGCTTCTCCTCATGAATCTGTTGCCCAGTCATCAGTCTGTACACAGGAGGTTCTGCGTTCTCACGAAGCAGAACCAGTTTCAGGTTATGTTCATCCATCAGTCTGAGTGCCTCTGCTCGGTGCATATCTCCTAAGCTCTCTCCATCCTGGTTGATTACGTGCAAAATCCGATACGGAATTCTTCGCCCAACGCTTCCAAATGCTGCTTTCCTTTTAGGATCTTTGTGAGATTTTTCAGCTGTACAAAATGGCTGAGCAAAAACAAGCACATTTGTCTTTCTAGGGTCAGGTACCACCATCCAGAATGGAGGGAAAACTCCCTTTTGTGTTGTCCGTGACAGGAGAGTACCACAGAATCGTTTTGCATATCCAGTCTCACTTCTGGTTGTTTGGCATAAAAGTTTCATCACACAAAAGGAAGTCATTCTGAGGAACAGGAAGAATAAGAAAACAAGTTACCTCCAACTGTCAGATTCTTCTAGTTAGCATTATCAGAAAGACCAACTCTGGTTCAGTAAGCCCCGATCCTTAAAACCACTCTTTGGAAAAGATGCAGTGTTACTCTATAAAACGAGCAACCAACAGGAGCTTTCCAGTAACATAGAGGGCTTTAATCCAGAGAGAAAATCTTACAATGAAAGAAAATGTATTGAGTTGACATTATCTTCAATATCTTAATATTTGAGCCTGAATCCTTTCAGAGACTCCAAAACTTCCAGCTCATTTCTCCTTGTGAGTATCTACTGTAACACAGCTGTGCAGAGATTAGGCAGTGGTTAAATGGGAGGAAGCGCTGTCAAATAAAAAGACATGTCTCACTTTTAAAGCTGTGTACTTTCAGTGCAGGGTTTTTGGTTTTTTTTTTCATGAAATACACAACACTGGGACTTCTTTCAGCACCTTTGGGAAGCATTTTATTTAAGCCATGGTGCTTCAGATCTGCCTCAGTCACTCAGTGAATGAAATGGTGATCCATGCAATGCCCATCAACAGCCGCCCCAACATCTGCCAAGTTTCATAAGCTTTAACCATACAGTACAAGATTAACATGCACAATATTCACCATGGTGTGGGACAAAGCAAGCACTACCATACTTGACAGTATGTTTTATTGCAGCACTGAAAACTCTTCCTAGGATACATGCAACTTGCTTCTCATTAAGCTAACCCCAAATTGTGTGTCTTTCTCAGACAAGTTTTCCAGTGATCATTTCATGCAAGTAGTCCAGATGGTTACTTGATTTTATATGGATGAAGCACCAGCATTATTTCTATAACCTAAAAGCAAAAAGGGCTTCCTGTCTCTAAACTTGAATTCCACATTCAGCCATGGCCCAAAGTTGAAACAATACCTTAATTATACACCTATTTTATCAGGCATTTTAAGTGTTTATTGCCTTTTTCAGTTTTACACAAACATTAAATTTAGGGTGGCATAATTACAATGAGCTGAGCAGGTTTTTTTTTGCAGTTGTCAAAACTAGTACAATTTCTTACATACAGCTATACTCCTATGCAGCATGAATTGTTTGGAAAGCACAGTTTATGGTAGGCATTCCACCAGACCATCTGGTAAAAATCATGATCATTAGATTTTTTTCTCAAATACCGACAAAAGTGTGCAGAAAAAAGGCAAAAAATAAAGGCACCAGTAAGGCTTTTCTGCAATACAAGGAATGGAAAACATGCAGTGCCTGACCATTCCTCTCATTTTGTTACAGACTTCAGAAATCATCTGTTGTTTTTTTTTAACAGCTGCAAAAAGATCAGTATAAAGAGTGCACCCTCAGTAAGTTTGCAGATGATACCAAGCTGTATGTTATGGTGTGGTCAACACATCGAGGGACAGGATGTCATCCAGAGATACCTCAAGCACTGGGCTCAGGATAATCTCCTGAGGTTCAATAAATCCAAGTGCAACATCTTTTGCACCTGGGCTGTGGCAACTTCTGCCATCAGTACAAGCTGGCGGATGCAGGAATGGAGCACAGCCTTGACAAAAAGGACTTGAAGGTACCAGTGGATAGGAAGCGGGACACGAGCAGCAATGTGCCCTTGGAGCCCAGAAAGCCAACCGTATCCTGGGCTGCATCCAAAGCAGTGTGGCCAGCAGGGCAAGGGAGTGATCCTACCCCTCTGCTCTGTGCTGTGAGGCCTCACCTGGAGTACTGCATCCAGATGTGGAGTCCTCAGTACAGGAGAGACATGGAGCTGTTGGAGTGCATCCAGACGAGGGCCACAGAAATGACCCAAGGGATGGAACACATCCCTGTGAGGGCAGGCTGAGAGAGATGGGGCTGTTCAGCCTGGAGAAGAGAAGGCTCCAAGAAGACCTGAGAGCGGCCTTTTGATATATAAGGGAGGGCTGTAAGAAAGAAGGAGACAGACTCTTTAGCAGAGTGTGTTGTGATAAGACAAGAGGGAATGGCTTCAAATGAAAAGAGGGAAGATTTAGATTGGTTATAAGGAAAAAGTTATTTACAATCAGAGTGGTGAGGCACTGGCACAGGTTGCCCCGGGAGGTGGCTGCCCCATCCCTGGAGACACTCCAGGTCAGGCTGGATGAAGCTGTGGACAACATGATCTAGCTGTAGGTGCCCCCATCCACTGCAGGGGGTTGGCGCAGATGACCTTGATAAATCTCCTCCAACTCAAATGATTCTGTGTGACCGTATGGCCCACCCAGCCCCCTCCAGCTCAGGCTGCCCAGGTCCCCATCCAACCTCGCCTTGAGCACCGCCAGCGATGGGACACCCACAGCCTCACCGCCCTCTGAGTGAAAAGATTTCCCCTGGAACCTGACCTAAACCTCTCCTCCTTCAGCCTAAAGCCACTCCCCCTCGTGCTGTCACCGCAAGCCCCTTGGGGCACAGAACACCAAAACCGCATTTATCTCAGCGGAACCCGGCTCCGAAGGAACACATCGTCCGACCCGCCCCGCGCCCGCAGCGCCCCGCGGGCCGCCCTTACCTGCCCCGGCCGGCCGGGAGGGTGGAGCCCGGCCTCCCTTCCCCTTCCTCTTCCTCCCCCTCCCTTTCCTCTTCCTCCTTCTCCCCCTCCCGGCCCCACGAGGGCTGCGCACGCACCCGGCTCGCCGTGCGGCGTTGTTGGTCTCCTCGGTGCCCGCGCCGTGCTGGGCGGTGTTACAAAAGAGTGCTCGCATTCCCGCTCCCTGTTTCAAGCTTTCTTTTCTTTCGTGCCAAATCAAGGCCTGTTCTGCCAGTCCGTGCACCAACACGTAGATAATCCAGAGCATTTAAAAGCAGCAGGGATGGCGGCAGGAGGTTGCTTGTCCTCAGAATCACAGAGCCATAGGGCTTGGAAGGGAGCTCTGGAGATCACCTACTGTGACCCCCTGCTAAAGCAGGTTCCCTGCTGTAGGTTGCATGGGAAAGTGACTGCATGGGTTTTGAGTATCTCCAGAGAAGATAGCCACTGCCACTTGACTCCTGTCTTTTTGATACGGTTTTAAGTTGAGGGAGGGAAGGTTTAGGCTGGATGTCAGGGGGAAGTTCTTTATTATGAGAGGGGTGAGGTGCTGGAACAGGCTGCCCAGAGAGGTTGTGGATGCCACATCCCTGGAGGTGTTCAAGGCCAGGTTGGAGGGGGCCCTGGGCAGCCTGGTCTAGTATTAAATGGGGAGGTTGGTGGCTGGCAGGGGGGTTGGAGCTTCATGATTCTTGAGGTCCCTTCCAAGCCAAGGCAATCTGTGATATTTATAAGCATTAATAAGATCCTCCTCAGTCTTCTCCAGGCTGAACAGTCCCAGGTCTCTCAGCCTTTCCTCACACGGGAAATGCTCTGAGGCACTGTTGCTTTCTGCAGCAATTCCCTGAGCAGCAGTGACCTGGGGGTGTGGGTATTACCTTACATGCTTAGGATGCTACTGCGAAGCTTCCTCCATATTCTTAGCCCAATTCTGGGGGTCTACAGGTTCAGTTGTCCCTGAGAAGGTGTGTGCTGGTTCTGGTTGCTCTGTTGGGCTGGATCTGTGCTTATAGTTGGCAGAGAGCAAAGATGCGGCTGTGAACTGGGGTGACACAGTACTCCCCTACTCCTGAACTGGAGCTCTGATTCCCAACATCTAGTGCAAAACTTTTCAAGTGCCAAGCAGTTATTGATACTGTTGGGCTAATGCAACACCTGAAACTCTTGGCCTAAGACCTTGGCCAAAGACCTTTCCTGATGGATGAGAAGCTGGACATGAGCCAGTGTGTGCCTGCAGCCCGGAAGGCCAACTATATCCTGGGCTGCATTAAGAAAGGGGTGGCCAGCAGGAAGGGATTGTCCCCTTCTACTCAGCTCTTGTAAGGCCCCATGTGCAGTACTGTGTCCAGGTCTGGGGCCCCCGCACAAGAAAGACACAGAGCTGTTGGAATGGGTCCAGAGGAGGGCTACTAAGATGATCAGAGGGCTTTCCTATGAGGAAAGATTGGAGGAGCTGGGCTTGTTTAGCTTGGAAAAGAGAAGGCTCTGAGGAGACCTCATTGTGGCCTTCCAGTACTTGAAGGGAGCATATAAACAGGAGGGGGAATGGCTGTTTCCAAGGGCAGATAGTGATAGGACAAAGGGGAACTGTTTTGAACTGAGACAGGGGAGGTTTAGGTTAGATATTAGGAGGAAGTTTTCCACACAGAGGGTGGTGACGCACTGGAACAGGTTGCCCAAAGAGGCTGTGGATGCTCCATCCCTGGAGGCATTCAAGGCCAGGCTGGATGTGGCTCTGGGCAGCCTGGTCTGCTGGTTGGTGACCCTGCACATAGCAGGGGGTTGGAACTAGATGATTTTTGAGTTCCTTTTTAACCCAGGCTTCTATGATTCTATGAAGACTTTATCACATAACTCAGATAAAAACTCCCTTGTGCTGAGCTGAGCATTGCCACACACTGCAGAACACACTGGAGTTAATGCATGCTTAAAGGATACAGATATTCTGGGTGAGCCACAGGTACATGGTCCTTGTTCTGCAGTAGCTCACTTACTCTCTTTACATCTCCAGCTTTTGAAAGCTGCTTAATACAGACACTTCTCTATTTTCACTCTAACAAGGCAGCAAGAAGTAAAAGTAATCCCAGAAATTCTGTTGGGTGGTAAGAATGGCCACTGCTAGCAGAGCCCTGCACAGAATGTAATAGCCAAAGAGCCACAGTTTTGTTTGGTTCCAAGAGTCTGCCTCTACTCTGTGAATTAAAACAATTCTTTTGAAGATGCATGCCGTCATTAAATTGCTTAGTCTGATTTAAAGAATCCAGGCAAGGAACTGATTTTGCTCCCTGAAAAGCGAGGCTGGCTGAATTTATTAAAATGGTAATCATAAAGCCAGCCTGTAGGTCCCTGTGGCGAGGCACAATTAAAGTTAAAACTACCCAGTGCTGTAAGTTTTTTAAATGCCTCGTTTTACGTCTTGACTGTAGGGAGAGGAGTTTCCACTGTACATCTAAGACATTGTTCAACAGCCTTTGCAAGTTGCTGGGTTCAGCTGCGAAGATTTTAAAAGCTGCTTTTGTTGGCAGCCTAGGACACATCCGTGACCTTATTAAAGTGGAAGTGAAAGCTCTCCCTTTTTTTTTTTTTTTTTTGCAACAGTAAATCTACTAATTTTACAGTCAGTTGAACAGCAATAGATTAATTTGTTTAAAGTCTGCATTCACAAAGAAAACGTGAACTTCGCTGCCTTGAATACCCGAAACTACAGTGCGATATTTAAAGGGTAGAAACTATTACAACTTGCCCTAGAATGGTCCAGGCAGTTCCCTGTCACCTGCTTCTCAGCACAGGTGCTGACCTCCCCGTCTATTCTATCCCTCCTGACAGCCTAGCAGCAAGGCTGCCTCTTTGTGTGCAACAGAGAGCGCTTTTCCAAGCGCTGGGCCAGTTTTCTTCAGCAACCACAGGAAGCAGAATAAAGAAGAGGTTAAGGGCCAGCGCCAGGGTCAGAATGGGTTAAATTTAGTTAACATCAGAGGTTATAGCTTTTAACAAGAGCATGAAGGAAACTTATTCGAAGATGCAATTTGTTTCTTCTTTGTCAACCATTATTTTTTTTTTACCCTATTGATAGTGACAGCTTAACAAAGTTTTTATATGCCGGGGTTTTCATCCTTTAGAGGATAAAGAACCGTGATGCAAAAAAGAGATGCAGGTGGAAGACTTTATAAAGCCTCCATGATTTTCAAATTGAGGGTTGAAAGTAGGCTCCCTGCGTGGCTAAGTCAGAAATAATTTGTAAATGTTAAAAAAATGTTATGGACAGAGGAGCTGGGTTTTTTGGTTTGGTTTGGTTTGGTTTTTACCTTTGGAGTTTTCTTGCCAATAGTAGTGCTTTATGGAACGCATTACAACCAGACTGATTTTGTATGTATTTTTTTCCCAAGGTGATCTATTTATTTTTTTTTAATCTCACTCTAATGATGATCAAAGTGAAATGCCCCTGACGACAGCCTCGATAATCAAGACTTTTTAGTGCAGAGCACATCATGCTAGTTCTTTGGTTGGTTGCTTTTTTTTTCCCAATTCAGTAAACGAGAGTAAGCTACAGGATGCACTTGGTGGGTAGCTCTGCTGGAAAGCCTTCGCTCTGCTTCTTGGACTGCAAAGGGGAGGAAAGTTTGAATCTTTCTGAAAACTACTCAGCAAAAATGAAAACAAAGAATACATTCAGGAGGATTTTCCTCGTGTTTCTGCACAATAGCTTATCTTCTGCCAATCAATCTTCAAAATTAATTCGTAAGATAACTATGGTTTACTATTGCTTTATCCTGGTACAAAGTAAAGAACTGAGATCTGAAAACAGTTTAATTAACTCTGATAAGAACTCAGAAGTGCAAACTATGACCTTTTTTACTATTTTTTATTTTTTTTATTTTTAATGTGTTTTCCTAAAGGAAAAAAAAAAAAAATAAGCTTGTGGGATTGTTGTGCCTACCTATCTATCTGTCTTACTACAGGTTTGCTCAGTACAGCTTTCATCTCTTAGACACTTCTGCCCAGTTTGGTGAAGAGATGGTGGCCGCCAAAGCTCCAGTATGCTTGTAATTGCGGTAAATACACATCTCTAAAAAGAGAAATTGTGATAATTGGTATTTAAACAAAGGAAAGAGCCTCAAATTAATGTCTCGTTCTGGCAAGAGATTTCATCCGGCTAACCAGGCAGTATGTGTATGGATTGCCTTGCTATCCCACACGACTTCACAGAGTCATCGA